GCGGGGCTGCCTCGGCGGGGGCATGTCGCCGGTCCTGGCCTGACTGGGACCTCCGAGGATGTGGCAGCGGGGGCTTTCCGTGGCTTTGCCCAGACTACAACCACAGGCTTTCGAAAATGGGGCTGGTTTTTATTCTCCATCGCCTCCGTGAAGTGGACGGCTTTCTTGGGACGATGAGGGCAGGCCTTCACTACGTAACTCTTGTTATTTAAACCAAACTCCTCATTCTTCCCAGGAGCGTGCTCCGTGTTCTCTTCAGGTGCGTTACAGTCGTCAGAAACTTGTGCATAGCCGGTTCCCGTGGTCAGCTGTGGTACCTACAGCCTGTCACTGCAACTGGAGGCAGGTGGGGGCACGCCAGCGGGACTGTGGGGCAGGGCAGCAATTCACAGAGCAGACCTGGTGTGCAAAATCAGCGCTTCTCCAATGGCTTGAAAAGCAAAAAGCAAAGGAAGGTCACTAAACCCTGTGATTCTCACCGTCGTACATCTTAAGAACTTTAGGTCTCCACAATAGATGAAATGAAGAGTTTCTGTGATAACAGGTGAAAATGACTGAGTTAAGATGTTGGGCATATATAGACTTACTCAGGCTTTTGTTAGATATAACAAATACTACAATAAACTTGTCAGGTGACTATCTACAGCTGGAAGGATAAAGGAACAATTGGGTATTTTTTATAAATTTCTAATGGCTTTATTACAGCAATTTATTGATACATTTGTTTTAATCCCCAGACACATAGAAAAGATTTTTTTTTTTTTCCTTCACATAGACTAAGTGTATTTCATTGCTTACAGCTAAAGACAGCACATTTTTTCACCCTTTTCTCACCATGCTTCTATCTGCCTGTTCAGCATACTGGAACAGGTTTTATCAAGGTTTTACTTCGAAGAAAGCCTTGGTTTCTCTGCCTCATCTGAGCTCTCCTTCCTGTTATATCAAACATAAGCTCCATGGTATTACTTCTGAGGACTTTCACATCTCATCCCTTCTCATTTGCTGTTGAGAAATCAGCTTGGCTCCCAATCATCTCAGAATGCCATCCTTGACAGCAGAGGTAAGAGCGCCTGACTTCTTGCCTGCTGCCTGTCATTCCTGGGAGGAATTCTTCTGAAGTATTTGGTAAACATGTATTATCCTTCTTCAAACCCCTTCTTAAAACACATTTGCTATGACTTAAAGCGATAGATCCTTTTTTATTTTCTTTCCTCTGACTGTATTCTTTGTTTATATTATTTTAAGAATATCATCTCTCTTAACATTTCAAAGTAAAATGTGGTTTTGTAGATGAGAATTTTTCTCCAAATTTTTAGCTTTTACTAAAACTATTATTTACCAATAAAATGCCGAATTTATGACAGTTTGGGTTATGGCCAGTTTGTTTCCAGATGCTAGCAGAAGTTGCAGACAAATCTTAGTAAGGCTTTTATATGTCATCCTGTAAACGGGAGGATTCCCATGGCTATCTTAGGGGGATTAGTGAGGTAACCCTTAAAAAATGAAAGACAACACTCCAAATGTTTGTGATGTTCTTTACAAAAACAGTTAGGAACAAGGTGTTGTTTCTGAAAAGTATCGTATTTGTTAGTGCATATGGAGGCGAATATGTTAAAGGAATCATTGTGTTGCATAAGTTTTTTATGAGATGGATTTGAAAGCAGAAATAGATGAACCACTTTGATTTCATTGCTAGTAGAAAAGGAAGAATTGAGTACTGTTGAAACTTAAGGTTTTTCTGGAAAAAAAAAAAAGCTTAAGTCCTGCAGGCTGTTGGAAGGTATGGGCTTTCATGTAAAAGCGTGCCTGCCTTTGTCGCAGGTGATGCTGTCTATGAATGACTCATGCCTGTTTTGTCAAGTGTGACAAAAATTTTCTTTTCAGTGATGCTGGACTGTGTTTAGCCTCCAGAGCAGTGATTTCTTGCTTGAACAGCCAGCCTTCTGCTGTTGTGTCACATCAAGCACTGTGCTTCTCACAGGGCTTGTTGGTGGAATGTGCTAGTAGGCAATTCAGCTCCTAAATTGCTGCTTGAGGTTAACTGAGTGATGACAAGCTTTGCTTGCAATGCAGCTCAAGTTCCTGGGTGAAATGTGCTTTCTTGTGTTACTCAGAATAATTGTATTGCCTCGGGTACTTCAAAGCCCACAAGTCCTACACAGTTCTTGGAGAGCGGATTTCCAGAAATAGCTGTAGAGCTTTCACCTTCTCAGCTTGTTAAAGAAGCTTGCTTCTTTCAGTGAATAGACATGCCACCTGTCTGTCCAGTATCAAAAGAATGAACACTGTGTCTCCAGCTCTTCAAACGAACAGTATCTTTGTTGGAGAAACTTGTGAATATGTTATTGACAGAATGACAAATCAGGCGTGTACTTTCTAAAGGGCACTTTCAGCCCAAAGTTCCTTTCAAGTTCATATTGTAGATTTAAGCGTTATTTCCAGTTTGTCCTACTGAATGCTTGTTCTAGTTGCCATTTGTAATAGCGTACAAAATTAGGTGATCAGTCTTTTACCATATTCTGATCTCCAGTGGCCCGGTGTACTGGGTGGTCATTCACTGCAATGTGGTGCTGGGTTGCCACAGTTAGCTCCCCTGGTGCCAAACAAAGTGCTTCTCTCTACAACGCTGTGTTATCCAATAGCCAATAGTTTTCTGCCAGAAAACAAATGGAGGGAATTGTTTTCTTCTGCATGCCATCCCTGCATTGAACTCTAAAGTGAAGAAAATTACATTATTCTCTGACTATGGACATAGTATATGAGCAGTGGCTGGGTGGCTAGTGAGGTAATGAAGTGCTCATGCTCTAAGGTTAAAATATTTTAAACAGTGTCAGAATAATTTCTAATCTTAAAATATTTCAGTAGATTTCCTACTGTGGAGCACAGTTACACTGGTCTTAACTCTGCTTTCTGGCTTCTTTGTGAAATGGTACAAACTCTTATGATTTGCAGTATTCTGTGTAAATTTTCACTTGGAGGATGAGTGCCTACCACTGGGGAATCGTGGGTAATGGAAGCAGTAGTAACACGGACTGTAATTTCTTCAGGTTTGCTCTCGCTTATCTTTGGTGTTGGTTTTTTTGGTTCTCTCACAAATTATTCCAGAAAATTAAACTAGTAAAACTATAGCGAAAATTCAGAAACAGGTCTGTTAATGTGCAGAAACAGCATAGTATGCAATTGATAGGTAGTCTTACGTTGTCTGATCTGTATTCTTAAGTGCTGAAAACAGAAAGAAACTATTGTTCTTTCCATGTAAGCTTGCCTAATGTCTCATACAGGAGAATATTATGTTAAATACAATGTTTGTTTCAAACAGTTATTTTCAAAACAAATACAATCTTGCAAAAAAATGCTTTTTCTTAATAACTGTAGAGGCTAGCAGTTCTCAGAACCCATGCATCCATCTACCTGTTTTGTTTTAAGCTAATCACATTTTCTGTTATCCTTTGGAGTTTTCACTATGACTCAGATGCCTCAAAAGTGTTTGTACCTGTTTTGAATGTACCATTGTTTAAAGGTAAAATTTCACAGAAGGTAAGGCCTTAGTCCTGCATCCATTGAGACTGTACATGTTCTTTACATTTTGAAGTAGATGATCAAAGGTCTTCATCTGAAGCAGTCATGAAGTTTTTATTAGTTGAATAGAACTATCTATTCAGTATTAAGAGAAGGCAACTCTCATGATTCACTCTTGGTCATATCTCCTGATTTTTGGTTATGAGTCAGCATGAGCAAAGTGGTCATTCAGGTGAATATTTTCCGCTGAAGAGGTAATATCTCACTGAATAATTGTTTTCAAGATTTCTTACCTAGCAAAACTGTTACAGTAAAAGCCACAGTGCAGTTTTGTACTCAATGTCATGTAATGATGACTGTTAGCTTCAGCAGACACCGAGAACCCATTGTGCCAAATGAGGTTTGCTCAATGTGTGGCGTGGAAAGCATTTTTTGTAGGCTGCTGGTGCTGATAGGCTGCATGTGGATTCGAAGAAGTTACTGCAGGGTTACAAGCAATCACATACCAGTTGTTTTGCTATGGTTTCTCATATAGAATCTGTTCTCACTTTAAAATAATTTAAAGTAATTCGGTAGGGTTGTCCATTGCCTATGTATGGGGAGGTAATAGAGGTAAGAATTTGCATTCCAGAATTTATTATGCAAAGGCTCATGTGGTAGTTTGTACGTTGTCTTTGGAACAAATGAGCCAATAGCAGGTGAATTTGTAATTGAAGACAAGTCTCTTCACCAAAGAGCCAACCAGTAAGGCTGTGGCTGAGTTGAGACATCTTACTGAACCAAGGAAAGACATACAAGTAACAGGAGAAGACAGTGAGCTAAAACAGGACAGTCTGCATGAAACCTGGTTTCACATCATCATAATTTTGTACAGTAAAAGTAGAGATTCAAAATTTTGGGTATTTTTAAAGTTACCGATTAAAAACTCTAGCTAAAGAAATAGGTAAAATGAAGGATCAATAAAGTATCAAAAGGGGACAATTGCAGATGGCGCTTCAGTGGGAGCCTCCCTTCTGATCGCTTTTCCAGTCCATAGATTAAAATAAGTTCAAAGAGGTGTGGTGTGAATAAACCTTTAAAAGAGGAAAAGGATGAGTTCTGGTTTCATGGAAATATGTGCCAGTGCACACGTCTGCGTCAGGATTCAAACTGATTCCATTCGTCTTTCACTATGCCTATTATCCCTCTTGAACGTGTCATGCAAGACTGCTGTTGCAAGAATTGGAGCTTAGAATATGTATAGCAACAGAAAAGAGGTAATTTTACTGTGAAGAAGTCCAGTTATCATTTACATTACACTTTTTCACAAGTAATCCATTTTATATTGGTCTAATTAAGCTTCTCAATGCTTTAATTTCTGTACCCGAGTAGAATGGACAATGTTTGAGTAATATATGTTCAAGGTAATAAATCTATGAATTAATGCAGCCAATAGTTTGGGATAATGCTGTTTACATAGTTTTTCTCTGTTTGATTGCAGGATGGACGCTTGACATTTTATCCAGGAAACCAGACTGTGGATTTGCCTTTCATAAATTTTATGAAAAGATACGGCACTGTCTTTCTCAACGCTTATACCAATTCTCCAATTTGTTGTCCTTCCCGTGCAGGTAGGACCGAGCGAAACACCAGATAAATACTTGTGCTTGTCAATTTAGATGTGTGGTAATGATGGGAAATTTGAAAGGTTTTAATTTTGGGGAATTCGTTTTGTTTTTCAGTAAGACTCAATTTTTTTTATGTCTGAATTTATACAGTATTCTCATGTTTGATCTGTTTCTCTTTTCTGTTTCTCATGCTTCTTCCTTTCTTTTTTTTTTTTTTTTTTTCTCTTTTTTCCAGCTATGTGTGAGCTCCCAAATCTTTTTTGCAAACTTCTCTGAAGCTCCAGTATTTTTAAAAAATCTTCAGGATTTGTAGAGAAATTGCCAGTTTGTCTGTGGCAGTGCTGAAGCTGCATTCAGAACTACTCTCCTTTTCCAATACAAAGTTAATAAATCTCTTTACTATTCTCAGTAAAGAGTATTAAATAGTAACAGCTGAACAAATCGGTGGCTGTTAGCACTGCCTTCTAATGACATTTATTCCAAACGTTCTGATAAATACATAATGTATCCTATGGTAGCTTTAATTGAATACTTCAGTATTTTTCTTTACTTGCTGTAGTCATTGTCCTTTGCTCAATTTCACGCTTGCAGAATTTGCCAGGAAGTTAGAAGGAAGGGTTCTTGAGTCGAAGGTTACATATTAAAACATTTCTAGCCTTTTCAATTGTTGCAAAGACCCTCCAGAGGTGATGTAAATGAAAAGCATACATTTCTCTCAAGCATACATTGGAAAAAGCAACCTGTCCTGGCTGCAGCAGGCACAGGCTGTCAAATTTAGTGTTCAGTATTCCATTTATTGATAACCTAGTCCCCTTTTCTGTTTCTCAAAGTCATATTTTAAGTGAGTGAGACTACATTGACGTGCTGACAGTCTTGTTTTCTTTTTCTTGATTTTTGAGTCTTTCAGCCAGTCTTTGTTGCTGAGAACAATAACCTTGTGTTAGGTTATTTAAGAAGTTCTGTGAAAATAGCAACTAGTGTTCCCAGTGAGGAAGAGGCTGCATGATCAATTCAACAATTTGTCAATTCTGTTTAGCATTTTAGGTGGTCACAGAATCACAGAATGGCAGGGGCTGGAAGGGACCTCTGGAGCTTGTCCAGTCCAACCCCCCCGCCAGAGCAGGGTCACCCAGAGCTGGTTGCACTGGGTCACGTCCAGGCGGGTTTTGAATATCTCCAGAGGAGACTCCACAGCCTCTCTGGGCAGCCTGTGCCAGTGCTCTGTCACCCTCAAAGTAAAGAAGTTTTTCCTTATGTTCAGGAGGAATTTCCTGTGTTCTTTTTTCTGCCCGTTGCCCCTTGTCCTGTCGCTGGGCACCACTGAAAAGAGTCTGACCTCATCCTGTTGGCACCTGCCCGTTACATATTACAAACATTGATGAGATCCCCTCTCAGTCTTGTCTTCTCCAGGCTAAACAGCCCCAGGTCTCTCAGCTTTTCCTCATCAGAGAGATGCTCCATTCCCTTAATCGTCTTTGTAGCCCTCCTCTGGATTCTATCTGGTAGTTTCTTGTCTTTCTTGAACTGGGGAGCCCAGAACTGGACACAGTACTCCAAAAACAGAGTCCATCAACATCATCATGACCACTGGTCAGTCATCACAAGTGTAGCTGTGAAACAGTGGGACATCTCTTGTTTAGCCAGTAGCTTGGAGACCTGCAAGGAACTGAGGGTACATCTATTGTGGAGGTGTCAGGGATGATACTGGGAGAGATGGTGGGAAGGAGGACTTTGGGGTTGGAAAAGTAGGAGTATTGCCATGGCATGGGGTTGGGGTTGACACTCTGTTCTTACAGGGTATTTCCATTGCTTATGGAACAGCTTAGCTTCCTTTTAGGACTCTTTCTGACTCTAAATTAGCATTGGGAAGAGTGAACTATTCTCGACAAATTGCAAAGAAACACGGGAATTCACTAACAAAAACTTTCATTATAGTTCCTTTGCAACTCTTCCCTTGGTTTAATTTCTTCTTGGCCTCTTCTTTAATAATTTGGCTTTGTTTCTACAGCTGGTAGTGAAGTAGACCTAAAAAAGATAAAACTGAAGTCGTATAGTATATCTAAAAATAATATCTTTTAATTCCCTCCACAAACATGTTAACTTGAAATTCACATTAAAATCTAACTTCAGTAAGGGGAGATAATGTTCAATAAATCTTGTATTAATGATGAAAAAAAAGATTTGGAAGAGTAATACTTTGTATTCTCTTTGAATCACAATGTGGACATTTTACCCCTAAAATAATGGGAAGATTGATCCCTTCTCAAGTATATTCAACTCAGATTTAGATAGCAAGTACCACTTACTTGTTAAAAACCCTGTCTCTTTTTTTTTCTTCGTTTTTTTTTCCCCCCCCAGCTATGTGGAGTGGTCTTTTCACTCATTTAACAGAATCTTGGAATAACTTTAAAGGTCTAGACCCAGATTATGTAACGTGGATGGATCTCATGGAGAAGCATGGCTACCGCACACAGAAGTATGGGAAATTGGACTATACTTCTGGGCATCATTCAGTAAGGTAATGAGATAGATTCCCCTGCTATGAAATGGACAGGAGTGAATAAATCATGTAATGGCCTGGCAAGTGGTTTCTGTCTCTGATTGAAATGGTACTAGCTTTCATTTAGAAGAAATTGTGCTAGGAACCTGTCAGGGGTCTGTCCTGCAAATTTATACAGAAGGCAGCATATCCCATGCAGATGTACTTTGGCTTTTACCTGTAGCTGGAAGGTGAATATCAAGACTGTGGTTTTGCCCACCGTGAGTGAAGGTTATTCTTGATAATGGGTATGGCTCCCTAAGTGAAATTCAGAAACTGTTCTTGCCTTGAGACTTCCTGGCTTTATTACATCAGCAGTGTAGGAAAAGCAGAACAAAGAAACATATTTGATAATACTTGAATATTAAATCTAGCATCACAAAACATGAGGTGGTCTTTTATTTATTTTTTTTTTGAATGCCATATGTTTTCACAGACTTGTGCTGTACTTCCTATGCTGTAAAGCTTTTTTTTAAAAGAAAATGCCACTAGCATTACAGCAATTTATGAAAAATACTTAAACATTTAGAGACTAACTGCATTATGTTCAAAAAACATAAGCATAATTTGACTAGGACAGTTGGGTCAAAATAGGGTGTCTTCCTTCTGTGTAGTTTTTATGAAAATGCACTATCTCTGATTAATAACAATATCAGTTGTTGAAATAGTAATGAAGAGTAGCATTTTCTTTGATATTAAGCAGGTTCAAGTTACTTAAAATTTCCTCACTTCTGTCACAGAAATGAGCAATCAGAAGTTGAAAGGTCACATTACTGCTTAATAGTATGTTGCCCCTACACACTCCTTTTTATGAACAAAATAATTGATAAATAGTATCCACTTCAGAATACTGCCAAAGTAGTAATCTCCTCTCCGGTTTAAGACTATCAAAAAAGAAAAGAAAGCTTTTTTCCTTTTTTCCATATACCTGTTCTACACAGTTCTACACAGAAGTAAAAGATTATTCAAATACAGACTTACAGCAAAAATGTAATGTTTACTTACTTTACCAGACAGTGTATATATTTGTGTACTACTGACGCTTCTGTCTTCTCTCTGTCTGCAGCTCTTCTTAGTAATTTAGCATCTAACTGTGAACAGATGGGTGTTCTACCCCGGTCTTTTGCTTTGAATTTTTTTTTTCTGAAGACTGCATTATTCTTAAAACTTTTTTTTTTCGCCCCAGTAAGAAACAATTACTTGTACAATGTACTAAAAAGTTATCTGCTATAGTATTATTCTGATTCTTTGTGCTTGCTTGCATGAATATCAGGAAAGTTTCCTCTCTGGCAAGAAACAACTGAACATTAAGATGAATGCTTACAGATGTTTGTATTATTGTAGTGTAGACATGGTTGGTTGTGACTTCTTGAGGCATTCATGCTTTTCAGAAGAGCTTTGTCTTAACAGCATACTGTAAAGTGCCAGTAATAGCCCATTCTTTAAGAAAGCAAAGGGTCGGATTTTGTTCTGTGTAATGCAGCAAGACAAAAACGATTCTGGGGGTGCATCATTCTTAAGCATTTCTAGAATAGATTTTCAGTACATTAAGATTACTCTGAAAAATGAACATTTTCTGCAGTATTATACAGACCCTTACACTTTTCTCCTGAATCACTTCTGAGCAGAGAAAATTCTGTGTTGCCTAAATAGTATATAGTATGCAGTCACCCTGCCCTTCACTGAGATAGAAGAAATGTTTAATAACATTGAAATCTCATTTATCTCTAATCTAAAGTCACTCCATGTTTAAAGAAGAGCAGCTCTAAGTAATTCCAGAAGTTCCTGGCTGTTCATATGATAACTGGAATACAAAGGTGGCACTGAAAAAAAAAGGTTGATTGCATATAAGCATCTGGATTCCACAAGTCTTGCTTTGATTTGCCTGAATTGAAGACCATAGGTGAATTCTGGCTTCAGTACAAAGGCCATCACATGGGGAATGCCAGGCTGAACAACAGATAGTCCTTAGTTCTCAAGTAAATTTTACTGCATAGGAATTAATGCAAAGAAAATCTTAATGTGAGATCATATAGAAGAGGAACATAATTTTTATGTTAGTTAACTTTCTAAGTTGGTAAACCCTGCCAACTAACAGTCTCACACCCACAAATATACTCACAAATACTAAGATTTGTGTTCAAGTAGTAACAGGATTGCTGGCATGTGATAGAGCAAGGGATGCCATCTGATGAGGTCTTTCGTATTTTCCTGTTGATTTGCCATGATGAAATGGCATTTTGCATAGGTATTTCATACTTTTTAGGACTGAAAAGTTGCTATGGTCTGATACTTTGCCTTGAAATTTTGCTTACTTCAGTCTTCAGGAACAGTAGGCAAATAGCCTTTTTGTTTCCTTATTGTGGCTCTTACTGTATTCTGCTTTTCTGTTGGAACAACAGGAAGAGGAACGGCACACAGAGTACACGATGACCTGGTTACCGTCCTGCCATCAGGATGCTGCTGACATGTCATCTGTACAATGCACTTAACAGTGACAGTCCCTTCTTCAATAGTGACCTGTTTTGCTGATGTCATTCATGTCATTGGCTATCAATGCACACCACTGCTTTAACCTTTCTCTTGTACTTATTGTGTCGTGTACTCTCATGTTTGAATGGTTCTGTTGGTTTTGTTCCAGGTGTCTGCAGGTGAGAAATAAATTAAGACAATTCAGGGCTTTGCAAAACTGTAGCAGCACCGGTATCAGTGGAGCTGCAATCATGTGCTCTGATTTTTCTCATTCTGCCATGTATAGATTCATTTACTTTAGTGATAGGGTTCGAGTCTCACAAACAGAAATTATGATGTAACCATATAATCACATCATGGTTCCATAGCTCTTGGTCCTACAAGGTTGAATTTTTAGGCCCTTCAAAGATAACAGGAAAATAATGAAGTCTATGGTGTTGCAGTTTTTAATTATCTTTTGTCCTAGGCCTTTATCGTGCATTTTAACCTGGTGCAAATTTTTGATACATTTTTTTCTAACTTTCCCTTCAGTGAGAATTTGAGATCTGTACTTAACAGGATCAAGCCCTTACTGTTATTTGAATAAGTGTGAGTAGGGCTTGGGAATAAACGAAAACAAACACGTGATTAGCCAGCCTTTCTGTGCCTACACAGGAGGAATTTGAAAATGGCAGTTTACACAGTTTTTAATTAAAAAAATGAATACTGCAAATACAGTTCCTCAGCCAGAGAAAAATGTGCATCTGTGTAGACATCTAAAAACCCTAAGTAGCCAGTTAAGTAATCTATAAATAGTGTAGAAGAGTTACAGTAAAGTTTCCCGTTCATTGTGAAGATAATTAAAATGACCTGCTGTTTTAATTTCTTGTTGAAAAGGAGACTAGCGAGGCGATATAGAACAGTTCAGCTAGGGCAAGATGAGTAGTAGATTCAGTGGAGATCAGATTGTTCCAAAGAAACTGATTTGACAGGACACAGCGGGCAGTATTGCTTCTTTAGAAACTTTTCTTAAGCACATACATTGTTTCTTTAAACAACAAAACTGCTACAGCTGCCTGATCGCATACTTACCTAATAAAAAAAAGAATTATTAACTTTTCTACTGCAACCTTTCAGTTGTATGACATACATTGATTTTTCTTTGTGCTAACCTACTGCAAATAGTGCATTGCTAATGCAAGTCATATCTGTAAAGAAGGAAATTTACATATCTTAAAAATGAAAATACTTAGTGAAATATACTACGTATCCATTTGAATGTGACTTACTCATAAGATAATTATACGTGGCTGTGAATCAATGATATTTGAGGAAAATGACTTCTAGGAAGTGCATACAAAGAAATACATACTGAGAGAAAGAGATGGATCTTTAGCCTCCAGACTGTTGAATATGTGAAGCCTCTGCTTCCTGTCAAAAAGACTCTTATGTGTCCTTTGGAATGTTGGTGGCCATCTTCACTTAACATTTAAAACAGATGCACTTACTTACTGTCATGGAATTACTTTCACTTAGGTTAGCAATGATGGTAGTTCGTTAAGCTTTATCATCAATCTTACATTGTTGTATTCCCATCCTTTATTGGCTTTTTTTCCATTGTGTGTGTTTTAGAATCATTGGAGTACTATCCGCTAGCAAATGAGGTATGATCCCCCTTCATTCCAATTGAAAGTGTTGAAAATTGGAAATAACTTCTGAAGCTTTTGAATAATTATTTGTCACATACTTGTTCTTTCCTTTTAAATTCAAGGATTGAATTTAGTATTGCCCTCTTTCAGCTCTCCGCCTGGCCTTTTGAAGTTTCTTATCTTGGCATATCTTTTTTCTGCTCTTCTGCCTGAGGATTAGTTTTCCTCTTGGATGTGTCAGAACATCTCCTGTGTTGCTCCAGAATGTGGAAGGGATCTGAAGTGGAGGGTTTGGGGGAGGAAAGACTAGGTTTGGGGGTTTTGTTTTTATTTTTTAACTTGATCCTAACCTTAGTCTGATCGGATAGTCAGACTGGCCTATAGCCTATGTAATAATTTTTTCTATATAAGTCAGTATTACGACATTAGATGCAATTTGACACATGCATCCACACACCCACCCCTTTACCATCATTTCATTTTAATGTTTAAAAAATGTGATTCCTCTGTAGGCCATCTAGCTTCCTTAATTTGTTCTACAGAATTTGTTGAAGTCAGTTTACCTTGAAAGTGTGAGCTTAAACAAGGAGTTAAAAATGTCATTACAGATAATTCTGAATAGTTTTTCTGGAGGTTAAAAGTGCGCTGGTAAAATTCCTGTGGGGGCAAAACTGGTTAGATGTTCTTTAAACAATAATAATGATGTGTTTTGATGAAAGTACATGATCAAACCTTGAGCAGTTTCATATTTTCTTTTATAATTTCTTTTGTTATATTGAAATTGCTGTGAGCAAAAAGTAGTCAAGTTCTTAAATGGGCTGTTTCCTTCCAACCCTTTTTTATGGCAGTTGTGGTGTCATTCATGCTGACCAAGAAACAAGGACATTCACAGCTCAGATTTCGCAGTGTTTTAGAGAGGCAACAATCGTTATGATATTAGAAAACCTGTTCGAAAAATATTTTATCATTAAAACGTTGTCTTTATTTTCCCCCTTCTTGCTTTCTCCCTACACCCTTCTACTCCATTATTCCCTTTTCTTGATAGGATTTATTAACTACATGAAAAGCAATTGTACAAGATAAATCGCTCTTACAGAGTTTTGTCGTAAGTAATAGTGTTTAAAAATGTGGTAATAGTACACTCCAAAATCAGAACTTTGCTTCTAAAGGCAGGCTCTCCAGGCAAGTTATCTCCTACAGGACTTTTTCAAATAACAAAAATCTAAGGCCCTCTTTACCAGAGATACAGTATGTGAATCCATGCCAGAATGGGGAGCAGCGTCAACAAGATGGAGGTGTTATTTCTAAATGTTATTTTGTAGAGGTGAGAAGAACCATTCTGACATGAAGTTACAATAAATAAGAAAGAAGAAGCAGAAAAAAAAATGGTTAAAGGTTTGAGTGTAAAATAGATGCGCAATAGCTATTGATCGATTGAATAACAATTCTCCTTTATGTAGAAATTACAAACAGATTGCAGCTACAAATACAGGAAATTTTCAGGAATTCTTAACTCTTTTCACTTGGAGGAAAAGTGAAGAAAATATTTTCCACAGAGTATGTATCTTGTGTGTGTATTTTCAGTAACCGTGTAGAAGCCTGGACTAGGGATGTTGACTTCCTGCTCCGACAAGAAGGGAGACCAGTGGTAAATCTTACTGGTGATAGGACACATGTGAGAGTGATGGAAGCAGATTGGCGGAATACTGATAAAGCAGTAAATTGGATAAAGGAAGAAGCTATTAACCTTACTCAACCATTTGTTCTTTACTTGGGACTGAATTTACCACACCCATATCCATCACCCTATACGGGAGAAAATTATGGATCCTCTACATTTTTGACTTCTCCCTATTGGCTTGAAAAGGTATGTGAAGGTGAAATTTAAATATAAACTTGTTTATAACTGTATTTATTATGAACAGTATTTTATTACTCGTGGTTTTTCAAGTCAGAACCAGTTTTGATATTTCAGTACACAGTAAGAAAGTACTTGGATGAGATGTTAGATTTCTGATTTAAGGCTAAGCAAATAGAAATGAAGAATTTTTCTCTGTTGTAGGAAAGGGTTGTTAGCAGTAGTCACTGAATCAATAAAGGAATTTGGAGTTCAGTGGCTAGAAACATATTAAATTGAGAATGAAATTGTTCCTATACTTAGCTGTAATTGTTTTTTTCAGTAATGGTCTGAAGTTCATTGTTTATAACAATCTGTATTGTGCTTGTTATAAATGAAGCTATATGTAGTCATTCTGTCTGCGTTTTATAGTGAGAGATTGACTTTTCCTACAACATGAACCTAGAACAAGAAGCAGTAAGGCACAGCAGAAGTCTCTCTTTGCTGTTAACTTTTTTCCATGCTACTGTAGTTTTCCAATGTTTTTAGAATGCAGTAAAGTCCCATTATGTTCATATGTGGGAAGCTAGCAGATAGCACTCTGTCCCAAAGAAGTAGTAAATATTTTTGTTCTCTCTTGTGTGACCTCCAGGTGCCATTATCTGTCGTAAAAATATAAATGGGTCACAACAGCATAAAGGCATTAAGATTCTCTGCAGCTGAAGAACTGAGAAATAGATTTGAAAAGACTTTATATTTATTTAAAACCAAAAAAAAACCACGAACCCATACAGAATTTATATAACTCATTTGGCCTTTTCTGCTGGGGAACTGCAAAATCTGTTTACCTAGATGCAACAAAAATACAAAGACTTAGAAAAAAGGATATACAAATTAAGGTTGAGAGATGTGAATTTCTGTGTATTATTGAGGGTTGTGGGTTCTTTTCTTCTAGCAATGGTGAGAAGTCTGTGGGGAGGGGAAGGGCGTCAGGGAAAAAAGCCTTCATTTGCAAAAAGCAAGTTGTAGTTTGGATAGTAAGGAAAATTTTCTAGGTGCTAATTGGTAGGTTAGACATGTCTTGGGTTAGACATGTCTTGGGAGTGGCAGTACCTCTATAACACTTCTGAGAAATTTTTGTCATCCTTAATCCAGTTAGAGTACTTAAACTCTGTAGTTTGCTGAGGTACTTTCCCCCACTACATGCACATACTCAGTTGTGTGAACCATGTATTACCATTTATTGATCATTGGCTGATGCTTCTGGAATGTATCTATGTTTTGGCAATGGAAGAAGGCGTCTTTGAAAATGACAGAGCTCAATCTCATGAAGAAGTTAGAGTGCATAGATGAAGAACTTGAATTAAATTACGTGTTTAATATGGAGCTGGTACAGAATGGAGTATCAACGTGGTATGTTTATGAAACTGTGTTGCTAAGCAGATGGTCCCCTGTGTTTTTTACAAGCTGGCACCTTTTCAGGGCATGTGACTTCTTTCCTAGCTGTGAATTAACACAGACAGGCAAAGGGTTTATGACTTTGTGACTGCTTAAAACTAGGTTGTAGTCCTGTAGAAAAGGGTTCAGTCTTCTGATGAATCATGGATGGAGATGGACACTTTTTGCTCCCATTATATCTTAATCAACTAACAAATAACCATTTGAGGAGTCTAAAACGTGACTTTATGAAGCCAAGGGCCTTCAGCAATAGGAAGATCACTGAAGCAGTTGTTTGCTGTTGTTTTATCTTCCATGACTTCTTCCTGCAGCTTATTTTTCTATAGGGCCTAAGGAAACTTAGGGTTTAGTATGTCTGACTATTACAAAGCCAGGGTTTATCCCTATTTTACGGGCACTTCAACTATTGCTGTCTTACCAACTGTTTAGATGACTTAATACATCTTCTGGATAACTCAGAATATGAACTGTTGAGGGAGGTGGAGCTTTGTGGGTACTGGAACTCATGGCTGTAACAGCACTGGTGGTCAAAGATGCCATGTGCTCGAGAGGCAGAGTCTATGCTAGTAGCTCCCCAGACAGCTCTTAGTTATCCATGCCAGGATATATATATCAGTAAACAGAGATGTAGTACTTCTAGGGAAGTACTGCTTTTGTGCTGCATGAATCCCCGAAGCGTCTCAGTTATTTTGTCAGGAACCAGGGCGGCCCATGTCTGGGGCCAGCCCAGGCGTGGATCTGTGGCTGCAGCCCTGGGAACGTGCTGCTGCACAGGCGCTGGAGTTGTGCCATAATCTAGGCCTCAGCTTTGTTTGTTAGAGAAGATTTGCAGAGGTAAATGAGAGCAACACCTGTGGTTTTATTTAATAACTTAAGTTTTCCACACTGAGATTGCATCTTCTCTGCTTTGTGGTAATTTGTGCTTTAAGTCTGCCATATAGAGGTAATTAACTCTGTTAAATGCAGCACTTAAGGGAATGCTTACAAGTATGACAGCCTTGGCTAAATGTATATGTCAAACCTTGAGGCTCTAAAGCTGGTACTGCAGCACACAGTATCTGTGAGCATGCCAATTTGAATACGCAAATCTAGCATTATTTGTAATTGATTGGCTCCTACATTTTAGTTTCAAACTGATCTTACACTTCTTTATAACTAAATGGATTGACATCTGTGGAAACAAATAAAAAAGTAGTAGAAAATTTGACTTCTTTTTATCAAGATGTCAAGGCTTGTCATCCACTGTCCTGGAGACCTTCCCAGACTAAGTAAATTTCCGTGTTGTTTAGTAGGCTCACATAACACCTGATCGTTTTGATACGTATGGTTTATAGTTATTCTATAGTTAATGAGACACTATGCCAAGACTTCTGTACTTACTCTAGAGTACAGTTCTAGAAGATTGTTCTGTGGTATCTCTCTTAAAAAAAATATATATCAGCTGGTAAAGCATATATTTCTGGCTCCTAGCCTTAGTTTCTAGCTGATTTTTATAGCGCTCTCTCGAAATGACTTGATACCTGTGGAAGCAGAGGGGATGTATGGAGGAGTTAGCAGCACCATGTAACAGATCAGCAGCTGGTGTTTCCTGGACCACAAATTGAGAACTGTGAATTTATGCTAAGAAGTTTTAAATTAAATCTGTTTAAAAAAAAAAAAAAATTAATTCAGTTGCTAAAGTAATGTTAATTTCCTCTTATTTTTAGGTAACTTACGAAGCTATTAAAATACCAAAGTGGTCGTCTCTTTCAGAGATGCATCCAGTAGACTATTACTCATCTTACACCAAGAATTGCACAGGAGAGTTTACAAAGCAAGAAGTAAGAAGTATTAGAGCATTTTATTATGCTATGTGTGCAGAGACAGATGCCATGCTGGGTAGGTAATGTTTCATTATACAGTGAATTTTCTTGTTCTTTTTTAAGAAAGTGCTGATAGGGCTGATCTTCTGGGGAAAAAAAAAAAAAAAAAACCAAAACACAGTTCAGATTTGGGAGTAAATCACTTGGATGCATGTTGCTTCATCAGTCTATATGATAAATACCTGCATAGCTTTTAAGGCTATTGCATGGTGAATTCAGAGCACTCTGAAAAGTAATCACAACCAGCAGTCAGAGACTCTGTGAAGGCCCAGTAACTGCAGCATAATATTGCTTAACCCGTGTACAAGAGGAAATAAATACTTTTTAAGTGCTAACTGAAATAATGGAAACAATTGTGAAGGGGACAGACCAGCAAAGCAAGGCTGGAAGGACAGATAAATTTTATGGCACAAGCAGTTTTCTTGGAGATTGATTTCAAATGCATAGGCTGGATGACAGCTATTACACATAGACTAAACAGTAAAGTTACCTTTGAAGTCTCCCTTAGCAGCATATTATTGAAAGTTAAGAAGAAGAAGAAAAAAATAATTAGGCATTCAGAATTCTTCTTAGTTTGCAACAAGGTCTACCTAGAGAAAAATTATAATGCAAATTGGTCTTCATTTACAGTATTTTATTTCTTAATTTGAAAAGTGCCCATGAAACAACAAGAATTTCCTTGCATTCTAATGTGAAATTAACTAGTCTGTTTAAGCAAGTATCATTTTAGTGTTTTAACACTAAAGATGCACAAGTACTTTGCTTTGTTTCTGACTTCATTGATCTTGCCTGTCTTTGTTGCACAAATGTATGCCCACGGATGTCGTGTGAGGATATAGGCACAGGAAGGAGAAACTTCCACTTATTATGTGTGAGGAATGTAGTGTCAGGGCTTCTGCTGTCCTATTTTACTGCTGTTGAAGTAAATGATAGTAGTTATGCCAGAAAGTAAACAAAAGTGATGACAGCAAAAATGCAGCTTGTCCTGTGGTGCCTCCTTGCCATTTTGATGGTTGTTGTTCAGTGCCCTCCGTGCTTCATTGGGAGCCAGACCCCTACAACTCATTGATGACTGTACGTTATTCTGGGCTGGACACTTTGGGTTCTGCCTTCTGTGGCAGAGAGAGGAGTTTCCAATCATCCATCTAGGATTCCGTGGGGTTTGCATGCTGCTTTACAGGTACTGAAGTTGGAAGGCATATTTTGAATGTATCTTCTTCAGTATCTTTTTCTCGTTGCAGGTGAGGTGATTTCAGCTCTGAGAGATACTGGGCTTCTTAAAAAAACGATTGTTATATTCACTGCAGATCATGGGGAACTTGCCATGGAACACCGGCAGTTCTATAAAATGAGCATGTATGAAGGAAGTTCCCATGTTCCTCTTTTAGTTATGGGGCCAGGCATAGAAAAGCAGCAGCAAGTACCAAACATGGTATCTCTCGTGGATATATATCCTACTATGCTTGGTAAGTTAAGTAATTTCAAATGAATTTTTTTTCCCAGTTACTATTATAAATATACATTTGTATGATAGTCAAAATTCCATCTGCACTTTGTGAGGCAATGTAGTAACACAACAGGAGATAACAATTTATAAGGGGATCATACATGCAGACTTAATACAAAATGCAAAAATTTATGTAAAAATTAAATAAAAGAGCTGATGATGTTCCTTATTACTGGTAATGTCATCAACACAATTACAGTGAATGATTATATATAGGACTATTTGTTTTTTATCACCCTTTTATTTTTTTATAACAATCACATGCATTTTAGATATGAATAATCCTTGCTGGCCTTCATACCTAACAGTTTACTATAGAAATTACAGTGTAAATGCATCCAGAGGTGAGATTAAACCTGAAAGGATGGCAGCTTCATTATCTTGTCAAAGGAATGTCCTTTATGAAAGGTTACATGGAAGAAACGTCATAAAGACTTTGTATAGGAAATGTATAATTGATCTGGACAAGCATAATAAGATAATGGATATCCATTCTTACCTTCTTGGGTATGGAAATACTCATTACAGGGCAGAGAATCAAATAAAAAGGACTGACATCACATTGCTTAGACACAAATGGAAATTATTTTAAAGAGTGAAGTTTTGCAGAGATACCTGTGATAAATTGTGCAAAAGGTGAATCTCATTGGAACCGAACATTAGGTGAAATTGCCATTCTAAGCTTTATCTGGGATCTTTTAGGCTACTGATCAGAAAGTTGTTCTTTTTGAGGCAGCCTGCAAAGCTTGCTCTTTAAGAAGTGTCCCATGTACAGTGCAATTGCCCGAGACAACGTGGGGCAGTAGATAAAGCTGTACTTCTGTCAGTAAAAGCCAGTGAAAAATCCTTTTCCATGTTGTTTTAAGTTGATTTTCTAAAACCCCAACAAGATACATTTATCTCTTCTCAAAACTTTTGAACCACTTTTCCAGTTGAAAATAGGATATAATCTGAGCAGGTTTCTCTTCCAGTTTCAGATACGAAATCTTTTATATATATCTCTAAAGTAATCTGTTTTAGATGTGGTTCTTGCATAACTTATGGTATCATATGTAAAGATAAAGAGCTTAGCACTGTTATTATCAAAGAAGTGAATGGTTAGGCCATGTTGGATATGGAGCTTTTAGAGTCCTTTCATGCTATGACAATCTCTTTCTCCTGCCTGATGTGATCAGAGCAGAAGGGGAGGGCATAAAACCATGATTAAAAATAAAAAAGCACCACCCATCACTCAAGGCTATCATGACCGGTTTTAGCAAACATTTGTTAAAGATGGACGTAGACATAGCTGATACTGCTTTTGATCAAGATCGTGGGCAGCTGACCTTGGAAAGTTCCTTAAGGTTGTTTTTTATTATTTATTTTGGGGTTCCTGTGTTCTACACATAATAATTAGGAAGAGAATAATTAGGAAATTAGGAGAATAATTAGGAATAATTAGGAGAATAATTAGGAATGCCTGTTTTATTATTGTAATAAAATTCACGTTCAGAGACACCTGTAGCATTACGTTAGGCTTTTTTAATCACGGTAGCTGCAGTAGTAGCACTTTGACTTTGTTTATCTTTGCTTAGATATAGCAAGAATTCCTGTCCCACAAAACCTTAGTGGATATTCTCTTATGCCGCTGCTACGTGGAAAGGCTGAAAACAAAGTCTCACCCAGAGGGCCTCGGCCCTTGTGGGTGTTGAGCGAGTTCCACGGATGCAATGTGAATTCTTCCACGTACATGCTTCGAACTGGCAAATGGAAATATATCGCGTACTCAGATGGCCGTTCAGTCCTTCCACAGCTGTTTGGTATGTTACAACTTTTATGTCCTCGCTGACTGAATAATTCACTTAAATGCAAATTGGCTCATAACTGATGTTTTGTTTGTTCCAGACCTTTCTGATGATCCAGATGAGCTAACAAACGTTGCCGTAAAATTCCCAGTAATTGTACATTCCTTGGACAAAATACTTCGCTCCATAGTAAATTACCCAAAGGTTTCTTCTTCTGTTCATGAGTATAACAAAAGACAGTTTATGAGTTGGAAACAAAGTTTGGGTCAGAATTACTCAAATGTTATTGCCAACCTTAGGTGGCATCAAGACTGGTTAAAGGAACCAAAAAAATACGAGAATGCAATTGACAAGTGGCTTAGTCGAAATGAGTAAATAAAAACAACCTGGGTTTCCTATGACTGAGGATAGGAAAACATCCTGCGTGTGTAATATTATGCTGTCTTTCAAGTGTTACTGTCTTATATAAGCTGTTGAAAACCAAGATGCCTGAACTATTACTGCTTTGTGTTAGAAAGCCAAAAGCATTATATAAAAGTAGCCAGCACAACAAATCTAGATTTTTCTATTTTATAATTCTGTAACACTTAAGTATACATAGGAAGGATACTACATAACTACTGACCCTCGGTATGGAATGTTTAGCTGGTTGCAAAAGTGCAGAGTATTAAGCATTAGAACTCAACAGTAATTTCCATTTCTAAGAAGAGGCTAAAGCAAGGGTTATAGAGTCAGTGTACCGTCGTGAAATGTGCTGGAGCCCACTTCCCATCAGGATGGATTTTAAGTCCACAATGAATACACATTCATCCACCTTAGAGAAGCTATAGTACTTAAAATATAATTAAAAAGTTAACAACTGGCATTGGTCTGAACATAGATGCAGTTTGTTCAGGTACTTACTACATCAGCATTCCTTTTTCATATGTGATTCCCTCTCCATCTTTTCAAGATCTGCCTTCTAATCTTTTGCTTTTGGATCTGGTACTTACCACTCCTTGGTGTTTAAAATTTCATAATATGCATAGGCTACTAATCAAGCATGTGTGCAAGTAAAGAGGAATCTGGTCTCTGGTCACTGTTGGAAATTAAAATAAACAAACCAAACCAGAGCCCTCTGACCAAACCTGTGAGTAGAGCAGTCCTCTGGAAAGTGGTAGTGTGATTTGCATAGCATAAGATGAAAACTGCTCAAATAGATCTCCATTATGCAGTTAGATTCTGTAGGTAAATGTTTTAATGTGCATCAACAAGTGGAAACTGGAACCAGTGATGCACACAGAAGGGATGCAATTGACATTTGCAGAAAAAGTTAACATAAAAATACTGCTTTACATTTTTCCAGGGATGTGATTAAAAAAAGCAAAGCAGTTTTGGAAGAAGGTAAGGTTTAGCTAGTAACTCTTCTGCTTACGGAAAAATGTTGTTTTAGCAGCACTTAGGTTTGCTTATTCTTGATCACAATAGTTGCTGCTATAGTAACAATTCAGAATGACATTATACTTCATACCTACATGCTTTCTGGAAGCTGTTACACAGTGGTAGCAGTAACCTAGTAAAATTAAACATGAAAAATACATGTCTTTTCTGATGGCTAAGGACTCTACATGCATTTCATAAACCACTTGCCACACTAGAATTAGGTATATATTTATGAATAATTTAGCTGTAAAATTCCCAGTACATTGTACATTCCTTGGACAAAATACTCCAGTTTATTTTTTTGTGTGTTCATAGAACATTAAGGCTAACCTTACACTACTTACTGCTACAGTAGCATTTTTTTTTCTTTTCTGTGAGGGCAAGGAACAAATTAATAGTTAAAGTAAATGTTCAAACACTGTAGCATGTCATTGCAAGTCTTGCTAAAATGAGTTCAGATAATGATGAAATAATTTCAACAAAAAACATGTCTTAGTAGTGCAATGTTAAATGGCTGCATAAGAAGAGAAAATAAATACATCCATATGAAGGCTCATTTAGGAGGGAAACGAATAAATAATTGATCACTTTCCAGAGGTCTGGACAGAACGCAGTACACTGTACAGAATATAGCAAAATAAAATTACGGTGGACTGGATGTGTTTTGTGTTTTAAAGAAAATGTTTAAAGAAATTACTAGAAAATGGTTAAAGAATTTACTAAAATGTGTATTTTGTCATTTCTGTGGACAGTGCTTTCTTTAACGACACAAGCTTTTAAGATGTACTTCCACTAAGTGTTAGGGTTACCAAAGTGCAGTTTGTCATACTCTGCGAACGGGAAAAACAAATTGGGAAAACAAACTTCTCACAGTAACTCCTTGCAACAAGTTTGCGTGTCACAGGCTGTCCAAAGAAGCCCAGGGCAGGGAGGCAGGTTTCCAGACAATGCCGGAAGCCCCAGGGATGTGCCGGCACGCAAAGCGGAGCTGGGATGTCGGGAGGTAGGGACGCTCCCTCGCAAGGCAGTTCAGTAGCGGGCTGGGATCAGAGCCTACGTCAGCATGTCTAATTAGTACTTCTTTATGTATCTGGTCTCCTTAATAGGCTTATTGAAAAATGCTTTGTTAAAAGCAAAACTTTGACTTTTGCAAGTTATCTGTGTGAGTGAACCTTTGTTCTGAGGAGTTAAGAGTGAAGGCAAAAGCCAGCTAATGCCTCCCTGCCTCTGTTTGCAATAAACAGTCAACCTGTGTTGGTACAGAACGGAGCTAATTTAAGTCTAAACCAGATACATTTAACAATGTGGTCATATTCAGTTACCCTGTCTTAGTTATGCTCATACATCGGCATTATTGTAACAGGAATCAAATGAAGTTTACAACATGCAAGGTTGGCAAGCTAAGAAAGGGGAAAAAAAATCTGGGTTTTGATCATACTGAATGAATTACATGGTATTAACATTGGAGAGAGAGGGAGAAGGAAGGCTGGAGTGCCGACAGGTTCAAGCGTATTTATTAGATGTAGACAGGTCAACACAGCCTCAGGAGGTTTACCTGAGACTACCAAGAGCGTTGGCCTGATCAGCTTCTGAACCTTTCTTTTATCTTCAAGTGCTTACAAAGGCAGGAGAGGTACCGCTGTGCTGATGAACAAAAATGGGAATTATTTTTGTAAACACAAGGTCCCAGTGGTCACTGGAGAGGTGATGCACTGCCAATGTCAATTTGCCAGCAAATCACATGGAAGTAATAATCCGCTGCCACTGTCAGGAAAGCCAGCCTAGTCAGTAGGAAAAAATTGGGAAATCCAGGCTTTGAATGCACCTGGGCAACAACCCATCTGATTTTATTTTAAGCAAGCGATGGAAACAGAGTCTAGATAAAATTACTGTAAGTTACGTTTGCAACTGGCTAAAATCAAACTCAGTAGTAGATGCCAAAACCTAAAAACTGGGAAGGCAGATCAAATAAAGGCTACAAAAATCTGATGTGGTAGCGTTTGGTGCTTTTTAATAAGTCAGTTGAATGCAGGAGTAGGCACTTTTTTCTTATTAAACATGAGAAAATGTACCTTGGGAGAGCTGTCGGCACTTCTGAGGATAGCCTAAAATTCAAAATAGTGTTGATTAGCTGGAAAAATGATCTGAAATCAATCAGATAAAAGTCATGATGGATTAGTTAAAGGTCAGAATAAAAACAAAGGGGAAAAATACTAAAACAGTGAACAACTGCCTAGGCTGCGATTTTGCAGTAAAAAAAGCCCCACACGCCTGGAGATTTTTGAGATCCAGAAGCAGAGTATGAATCAACAGCATGATGCGGTGACGAAGGAAACGAGTGATGTTTGAGGGTGGTTAAAGGAGTGTTGTATGTAAGACACAAAAAGCAAGTATTTTATTCTTCTCAACTCTAGTGAATCCTCAGAGTATTGTCTCCCCTTCATGGCTTTGATTTTTAAGAAGGACGTAAACAGATCAGAGGATTCAGAGGAAAATAATATAAATAAGTGTCTTGTGAGTCACGTTGGGTTTATTTCAGCCATCAGAGAAACCCTGACAAGTCTTCAACTATGAATAAGGCTCATGTAAGAGCCCGGCAAGCGCTGCCACTGAGGATGGAAAAATAAATGTCTGTTTTTCAGGCAGTGCTGTTCTCATGAGCTATTTGGAGAAAAAAAAAAAAAATTGACCACCTGTAAGTGGTGAAACATTAAAACAGCCTGCCAAGAGAACACTACAGAAAAGAGAGAGGTGTAGAGAAAAGGTTTTTGGACAGGTTGGTGCGAGGCAGGTCGAGAGCAGGGATGCAGTGAGCCTCAGGTCCCGTGTCGCTGCAGCAGTGCCGGTCTGTCACCCGCAATGGGCACAGAACCGCCGTGCTGCAGCGCCAGCCAGACCCTGCGCAAGCAGGAGCCCTGCCCCGGACTGACCCTCCTCACTCCCCACGTGCGTGCGAGAACTGGATGGAAAACCCCGCTGGGCAGCTTCCCGCGAAAACAGAGGTTGCCATTTAGCACGCTACACAGCTGCTGAAACACACACAGAGGTCACACTGTTCCCACCCCGCTCGTACCTGTGCAGGAACGGCAGCCAGGCTCCTTCGGGGAGAAACACCTTCACACGGTCGCAGCATAAACACATTTTGGTTCGTGTTCAGCATCTCGGACTCCTCAAGGGAGTCGGATGGGGAATCCACGGCGCCAACCAGATGTGGGGACACAGGTGTACCTCCTGCTCCATCAGGTGTCGGGGAGGTCCCTCCTGTGTGCGACCATGGTGCTGACACGGCTCCTGTCTGCAGGCACAGAGCTCTCACTGTTACCTGCTGTGCTTTGTCAGTCGTCTTCGTACCTGTGCGCTGTCACCAACACACCGGGGGTATCGATACGCTACCAGCTATAAACATTCCACATCGCTCGTGCGCAGTCCCAAACAAATAAGAGCTGTCATACCGCAGAAAAATGTAGGTTTGACTTAATTTGTAGTGTCAACATTGCAAAAAATATTCATCTGGTGAAGTGGATGTAATGGAAATCTTACAAATAAAACAGGAGATGAATGAGAAGGATACAGTCTTGGTGCAGTATTCCTTCGTTGCCTTAAAACACGCTAAGCAGGAATAAGTAACAGTGTTTTAGAAGACTTTTGCCACATTTTACACATGTACATCCCATTGCAGCGTGCCTGCTAGAGCCCCCTGCTCAGTCTGTACAGCTAATTAGTTAACTAATGCAAGAATTACACCAGCCCGCCGGAAACGAAATGGTCACAGCTGTGCTTTTCTGGTGGATTTAAACAACAGCAACAAGCAAAAAAAGAGTAATTTCTTGGACTGACAAATTTTATTTCTGAATGAGGTATCACAAAATCCACAAAGTACAACCAAAACACTCGTAAGGCTTTGTACGGATCACAAGTTGGGCTCCGAATGGGAACAACGTTTGGGCGGTTTT